CTCTACCATGGTATATACTGTCCTTACAGAGCCTCCAGCACACACATTGATCTCCAATAACTTCTATTCCCTGAATATATATACTCCATCTATACTTCCCTTTTTGCTAACTTATTTACTAATAACTAATGTTATTACATTTTCTTCCTTCTTATCGCCTTAAAAGCATGTGCCAAAACTTCCTATTTGCTGCCCTAAGTTTACTGACGCTCATCATTTGTTGGCTTCTTATGTGTAGGCCAAAATTATATCAACAGATTGAGCTAAAATACTCACTTAACAAAATTACCTCCCACATTCACATTTCCTTTATGCCACACGTGCTATTTTCAGAAAATACAATGTAGAATCTATGTGAAATAGTTCACGGGTATCTAGTTTAAAATAACAAATTTAAAGTTCAGCTTTGACCCTGTATCTTCATTGTTGGCTTCAGATCATTGCTAAAGGACAAGTTCCTAAAGATTCAGCTCACAGGTTGTTCGTGAGCAATTTATATTCACTCACACGGGAGTGAAATGCAGCATAATTTGACATAAAGCTTTAGCGAAGTCAGCTGAAACTTCTGCCAGAGCTTGGTTGGAACTGGATGATCAGCTTCATCTCACCTCCTGTGTGGTGGAGACTGCTGATGAAGCCAGAGAGCACCAAGGACCAAATCCTGGTCGTAGTCATTATTCTGGTAAAGGAAGTAAAAATGTAATTGCAAAACAGACAGAATGTCTGTGTTGTCTGTCAAAATAAAATTTCCTTCACAGAAGCAAATCTGCAGGAATGAATATAGTTTCAGGGCAAGGACGGGTAGGAATGGCTTAAAATCTGTGCGACACATCAAACATTTGCTACACTGCAGGGTCTTCGTATTTGTTAGATCATGACTGCTCATTTCTACATCAGAAAAGGATGCTGAAAATTCATTGATTAAAAACATTTCTACACAAATATGCAAGAAATAGCTATACTACTTTTTGGGTGGTTTGGGGGTATATTTGTGACCACAATGGACTTATTGTTTCACAAGGAAATTAAAAAGAAAGGCAGCACTAACATGGTGAGAGTTTGGTAACTGAAGACGTGTCATATGGTACCATTTGGCTTTCCTCACGGTCTTTTCAACCCCCAGAGCTACACTCCTGTAGCATTTTAATACATATTTTTTCTAATTTCAGAAATGATTTTAGGCAACCATTTCATCTTTTTTGAGCTTAAGCAATATCCAATCTCACAGCCAACTCTCCCAGAACTTGCTGGTGGCGTGGCTCATTCCTATGAAGTTTCCTGCCTTATTACCCTCAAAATCCTCCAGCAACTAGAATTGCCCTACAATTACTCATAATACTGCCAAACGCAGAGATCAGACTTCCATCTCTTGGGAATAACGTGGTGTGATAGCAAGGTGTAACTCTCAAAATTTAACTGTTCACTAGATGGGAGCAAGACAGCCTTATTACAGTGCAGCTCACCCGATCCATTTGACCATTAAGGACACGATATTATTGCATAACTTGTTCTTGGGAATTGCAAAATCAATTTTGCTGAAACGTTTCATATTTGGATTGATACATTAAGCATGAAAATTGCTGCTTCAGTAGTTATATCTGATTAAGCAAGAGCTTGTCTTGTAATAGAAAATATTAAAAAACCTTAGTGACAAGCATCACTCCTCATTCTGCTCAGAACAACTTTTGACTGTCAGCACAGCTGGCTTCTGTTTCCATTGCTGCCTAGCATATAGCTCAGTGCTAACCTTTATGCTGATGTCCTGGTTTCAGTTAAAACAGAGTTAATTTTCTTCCTAGTAGCTGGTGGAATGCTGTGTTTTGGCTTAGGATGAGAAAAGTGCTGATAGCACCCTGATGCTTTAATTGTTGCAGAGCAGTGCTTACACCAAGCCAAGGACATCTCAGCCTTTTGCTCTGTCCTGCCAACGGGCAGGCTGGGGGTGCAGTAAGAGCTGGGAGGGGACAGACCCGGGACAGGTGACCCAAACTAGCCAAAGGGGTATTCCATACCATCTGGGGTCATGCTGAACAATATATAGGGGTGGCTAGCCGGGGAAGGAGGCCGGACTGCTCAGGGTTAGGCTGGGCATCGGTCAGCGGGTGGTGAGCAATTGCATTGTGCATCACTTGTTTGTACATACTATTACTTTCGTATTATCACCATTGTATCATTATTATTATTATTGTTATTATTATTTTTGTTATTATTATTTTCCTGTCTTATTAAACTGTCTTTATCTCAACTCACGGGCTTCACTTTCCATTTCTCTCCCCCGTCCCAGAGAGGGAGGGGGGAGGGTGACCGAACGGCTGCGTGGTGTTTAGCTGCCGGCCGGGTTAAACCACGACAGGTGACCACCGTGGCAAACCAAGTGTTTTCATAAATCAGTGTATCCAGATATACAGGTATGCTATTCTCCTCATTAACTGAACAGTGTCTACACAATTTTCCAAATTTACAGAAGTCTTCTTATTAAATTTTCTCCATTTGAAAATTAGCTTCTACAGTCATCCACATACCCATAAAACTATAATCTAAGAGAGAAGCTATGACAAGAAAGTCAGATCTGGTCAGAAAAGAGGACAGTCATCCTTGAACTATAAATAGTGCTATAAATAGCATTACTTTTCTTGTTCTATATATAGGATTCTTATAAATAGCGTTACTCTGCTACTAATTGCCGAGCATTACTAGAATCTCTGGTATAGATTAACTACAGCTTCATCAGTTAAATATAACTTGTGCTTCCTTACTATTTCAAGGGCATTATGTTCAGAGAAAAAGGCCCATTAGACAAGCAAACAGACTGAAAAATGATCTGGAAGGAATTGTTTGTTATTTATTATTTTTAAAATCTTATGGTACAAACCAAAAACGTCCCTCACAGAAGTGTTCAGAAAAAAAATGCAGAAATGATTCTTTGTTTTATATTTCTCTGAATTAATGCTTACTAAAATATTCAATTGTGTTGATTCTTCTTGCCCCACAGAATGATAAGGGATATTATGTATTTCAGCTGCTAGGCTACCTTGCATGTCTATGCAAAAGAAAGCTACTCAACTGACAGTCCTAAAGTTCACCAGCGGTTTTTGACGGCAACACCATATATTTTGTTAATTGATCATAAATTAACTTACATTAAAGATACCTAGGATTTTTGAAGTATTCTTCCTCAGTTCTGCCACTACAGAATACTAGATTTTTGGAAAAGAAGGTCTGGAGGAAGTCTCAAAAGATAACTGAACACGAAACTCCTGTATTAAACCAGGACTGAGTGTATTTAGATCACCCCTACACGAGGCATCTCCTATTAATGTCATCAGACTACAAGAATGAATCAGAAGTCACTCCTGACCCAGCAGCCAAACTTTGAGTGTCTTGTGTCGATTCTATATACCTGAGAAGGAGTTCAAGAACAGATCAAGCGTTTATATTTACATCGATACAGCTGAGACTCCCTAGAGCCAACAGTAGATCCTACATATTTAATAAATGCAATAGATTTATTTTCTTTCTGAACACTTGCAAACCTCTTGTTTTCCTATGGCAAGGAGCTCCATGAGCCATCCCTGTGTGAAGAGCCATCTCCTTTTGGCCTTTACCTCCCTCCTACAGGTATCTTTGGATTCTCGCTCTGGAGGAGGCAGTGAAAAATCAATCCCATTCATCCTAAAAATCTCTCTTGTGATTCACAGATCTGTACTACATTCTCTTTTATCCCTTCTTTCCCCAACGAAGTCTCAACCTACTTGCTAACAGAAGCCATTCCCTCCTTTAATTATACTTTTTACCCTCCTCCAAACAATTTTTGGGTCTAACATACCATTTTGAAGGTAGCAAGAACAACATGCAGCATGTGAAGTCCAGGCAAATCATAGATGCATTTTTATTATTTTTTTTCTTAATGATTCCTAACAACAGATTTTTGTTTTATTTTACTTAGGTCACAGCTGAACTCTGAGCTGATCTTTTTTTGTGGCACTGTCCATTACAAAATCAGTCTTCCCTATGCAGTAACAAGACACACAGCTAACGCTCGCTTTCCAGTGTGAGGCATCTCTGTATCTTGTGATGTCCGTTCCTGTGCCTCACAACCCTCATAACTGGAAAACCATCCCAGGAGTCACACTAGATTTTCAAGGTAATGCTATTTTATTTTATTTTTTATCCCTCTCCCAGCAGTCATAGGAAGCTGTCAACTTTGCAGCACTATTCACTGGACTGCAAGCATTTTTTGTCTAGATTACACAGAATCACAGAATTTCTAGGTTGGAAGAGACCTCAAGATCATCGAGTCCAACCTCTAACCTAACACTAACAGTCCCCACTAAACCATATCCCTAAGCTCTACATCTAAACGTCTTTTGAAGACTTCCAGGGATGGTGACTCCACCACCTCCCTGGGCAGCCTGTTCCAATGCCTCACAACCCTTCCAGTAAAGAAGCTCTTCCTAACATCTAACCTAAAACTCCCCTGAATTAAAATCACAAATTCTTCCAAGTTTTCCATGTAAAGGAGGAAAGACATTATTTTGCTTTTCTGATCTACCACCTCTGAAGCCTCAGAGATTCAAGCAGAGCTGGGTCCTTTGGACAGCGACTCTCCAACCCCACATGGAACAGAATAACAACATGTTTCTCTAACATTTGCCAGAGGATTTATTTCTTTCATGACATTTTGCTGATGCGAACTCAATCTGTGTCCTACCATAACGCCTGGATCTGTTTCCACAGTAATGCTCTTTCCCCATTTATTTCTTTTGTGTGTTTCTGCACATCTTGATTTTCTGCATTTGTCATAACAGAATTTTGTCTTACTGATTTAGGTGGATGTTCTCTCTACTTCATCAAGGACACATGTAATACATTGTGAATGTATTTCTCGAAATTAAATGACAACTCTACAGAATTTTTTCTAGGGCTCTCGTTAAAAAAAAATGTAAATGGTGTAAACTGGAGATACACAACACCACAAGACAGGAAAACTATGTACTTACTCTCTGTCTATGACCAGACAAGTTACTGCTTCAGCTGCAATGACGTTGGCAGTTCTGACATCCTCCCTGAAAGAAAAACACAGTATATTTACAAATATATTTCATTCTTAAAGCACTTCAAGAATAAAATTCTGGGTTTCACAACTTTTTTCATATATTGATTTGGACTGTTGTTCGTCATCTGTACAGGCCTCAAGTGTGTGAGAGCTAAAAACCGCACACAAAAAGAAAACCAGAAATAGGTTCCCCATGTAAATAGGACATCAAACCATGTATAGGCCCATCCTTTTTTCTTAGGCAAAATTTTTTATCTTATGGTGTATGTACATGGTTATTAACAAAATATATTAAAATATCATCTATTTGCATAGATTTATTTGCGAACATTTAGACTTCTGCTACGTCCTTCTTCCCCCAAACCTACATTTTATCTACCTGGGCCACGGTCCAGAGGGAAATATGTCAACACTGAAATGCAAAGCATGCAGTCAAGTAGGACATTAGAGCAGGCTACAGGACTCACCAGGCATATGCTCTCTGAGCACACAGGTTGGGACTAAACTTATCAAAGGGCGTCAGATTAGGAGCAGGGTATTGAAAGGTCTCAGCATAAATGTCCTCTCTCAACCATTTTCCAGGTAGCTTCAGCACTAGCTCAGCAAAGCCATTTAAAGGCACTGCCATGGTGCTGCTACTTTTCACCAGCTTCTCAGAAACATCGTGCTTAGAAATGGGTTCTGTGCACCTGCATCTTCGTTATCAATTATTTTGTGTTTTCCCTCCTCCTGCCACACACAGCTTGGCCATGGTCAGCCCCAACTAAAAAAATATGAGGTTATTTCATTTTAATCAGACCGGTTTAGTGCTTCATCATGGTTTACATGTCACTGCATTTTTTTGTGTTGGCAAACCAAATCCACAAGACACAGGGTCATTGCTTTATTCAAAACCACTCAAAATTTTACCATCTATGAACTGTAAATGGATTACAGGCAAAATAGATCCACTTCTTTTCAACACATCTAATTAATTTAGACTGGAAAACCACTGCTCCTATCCACTGAAGTAGAAAATGAGATTTAAAAATGCTGTTGGAAATAGTTGTTCCCCTGTTTAAAGACTGGAGGTATTAAAGCAGTAATATGGTGAAAAGAAGTTTGGTACATGCACACTCATACAGGAAAAGGCACTCTCTCTTTAATTGTTAATTAAATTTACTTTAAGTACTTCCAAGCTATCTTTAATTTACTATCCTTAAACTATCTTTAAAGCATAGCAAGCAGAAATACAATTGAAGCAAACATTAATGCTCAATCCTACATCCAAATACTTTCTTTGAGCTTATTTTCAATTAGAGTACATTAATGCTAATTTATCCATACCAATAAAAAAAAAATATGGTAATTTAAAACAAGTAGAAAAAAAGTAGCCTAACAGTGTGATACAAATATTACTATTAACTTCTAAAAATTTGGTAAATAGAGAAAGGATAAGAAATCATAACACTTAATATTCCATTAAGTTGATGTAGTCAACTTTTGCTCATACATTATTAATTTATTTAAAAAGTATGCAAGGTTTTTGGTTGTCATTAATTCCAGTTAAAACTTAACATACTTGTCTTACTATGCAGGATGCCTTTCTGTCACAAAGAGCCCACCATTATAGAATTATTTTCAGATTATAGACAAGTAAAATACAGGTGTTATTGCTTCAGTTCAAATGTTTTAAATAAACTTTAATGTTACAGATTAAAATACACAAATAACTGTTAGGGTTTCCACTATCTTGTACTTAATACATGTGTCTAAGCAGCATGAAATTAGTGTAGAAGGAAGGCTCTTTCCCAAAGGATGCTTTATTTAGCTCAAACATGAGCCACAGGGATGGTAAGGGTTTCTATAATGCAGAAAGTCATGGATTCTGAGGCTTCCTTATGTTCAGCACACACAGAACTAACTGATAAATCAGGGAAAATACAATTTTTTTTATGAATTATGTGGTGCAAAACCACCTCCTCATAAGTTTGCATGCCCATAACAGCCCTGAAATGCCCACCTCCACAGCACTTCTCATGGAGCAAATGAAACTGTAACAAAGAAATGTGGGGAGAAAGCATTAATCCAAAGGGGGTGCTCCGAGGTGCACCCTCTGTGCAGTCACTGGGGAGCTGGCTACCAAACCCTGAGTGCTGCCACCACTGAAGGACCCCGGTCCTGCACACAGAAGCTTTCTGCTCCTGCCACCGGGGCACATCTGTCCCAGCGGAAAGGCAGAGGTGCCTCCTGCACAACACCAAACTGAGCAAAAGGACCAACAGACTGCCTGCCACCAGCCAGCTTGGATTTCTGGGGGTCTAGCACCGCTCATGGCCATGGCCACATGTCACTGCCATAGTGCAGGCTCCCTCTTGTCACCTGCTCCAGAGAAAATCGATTTCACAAGACCGAGGCGGGTCAGGAAAGTGCCAGGTCCCATGATTTTCTGCTTTGCTGAGCAGCCTTCTGTTTCCCCAGTCTAAATCGATTTTACGTGGTTTTATAAACCTTGCAAGCTCCCATATTAGGGGGGTTTACCCATCATGCAGGATTAAAAATCTAATCATGTTCTTAGAAACAGAAGGATGAAGCAGAAGGAAAGTCAACATATTTTCAACTCTACATGAACATTAATCTTCTACATGCATCAGCTGTGAAATACAACAGTTTTAAGCACTGCCTACTCTCACTGTACCCTTACAAATTATAAGCATTCCTAGAGACTTGCAACGCCCCTGTGAAGTAACCTCAACGACCTTTGCAGCAAAACAAATGATCAGAACACATTTAAAGGTTATATTGCAAAAGGTGGCTGCCAGCTGCAGCAGATGGCATTAAATGCAACAAGTAATTATTTGAAGTGAATGGCATTAAATGCAATAAGCAATTATTAGAAAGCATTGCTTGCGAACACTGACTCGGATATTTTCTTGGCTTCATCACAGGAGTACTCATCACTGCTCCCAGAGAAAAAGCACTCTTCGTCAGAGCAACTGCCTTCACTCTCTGAATAATCCATTGCTGATGTTTGCCTTCACCATTTTCTCCCAGGAAAATGCCTGCTTTCTTCCAGCCAGTTACTATATTTTATCCTCCAGGCGAGCTCCAGTATTTTACAGCCCCTCCAGCTTCAAGCTTCTCGACTTGGAAAAAGGTCGCAGCTGCTCAGGGGGTTTCTAGTGTGCATTGTTGGGAAATTCAAGCCGAGCGTATTTGGGAGCAGCCACAAAGAGGTACAGGCAGCGCACAGGCAGGCACAGATCCCAACAGCGCTACCAAAAGCCCTGGCAGGATACTCCGTACCACCCCGCTTCAGGAGGCACTCGTTAACCCCACAGTGGAATTAGGTGGTAATCGAGCACATCCTGCACCACAGCAGATCATGCAACACAGCAAATCTTGTGCTTATTTTTGTTGAGGCTAATCAGTTTCCCTAAAAATTAAAAATCTCTTTACCCCAAAAGATCAAAGGAATCCTCCCTCCTGCCTTCTGAAATTGTAAAAGGAGGAAAAAATACACATGCATTATTTAGAAGAAGAAATACGTACGCGTATTCCCTGGTTATAATTTGTCACCATGTGTATCTCCAGAAGATTCAACAGCTTTGATTCTGATAAGCCGTCAGCAACTTAAGAGCTATGATGTTGTTTCCAGGAAAGCTTTCTGATAAAACCGTGTTGATACACTGCATTTATAAAGCTGTGTTGGAAAATACAAATATGGAAAACAAGGGAGCTTTGATCAGAGACTACATGTGGGGCCCTATGACAGCCTCCATTATCTGGTTCTACCTACTTTGATCATAAAAACTGAACTTAGATTTTAAAATCTTTGAGGTGATTGCTTCCTACTTCCATCAGAGTCCTGTCCCAACTCTCATACCTCCTGCCACACACCACCACTCAAGAAAGCCAATGCAATCCTTGAAATGAATGGAAACTACAATTTAGAGGGTTTAATTCAGCAGTATGTTATTACGTTGGCTTGAACCTTGCAGTTCTAAGCTTAGGGATCCCTGCTCTTCACTATTTCCAGAAGATGGCCATGATACTGCAAGCAGAGCCCCCCTGCCTGCCCAGCTTTGGGACCAACTCCCCCAGACGCAGCCACCTCACACAGAAGAGGGTTTGTTAGGAAGCATGAGCACGCTGACACTGGAAGTATCAAGTTTACAGCTGAGCCTCTTCTGCTCTTCCCCTGACTGGCACTTTGTCAGTCAATATTAATTTCAAGATAAAACAGAGGAGAGACATTTTAAGGCGTGTGCGTAGGCAAAGCCGTCTCCCTAAAGGACAGAGCCAGGGCTTGCTTTTCAGAGGATCACCAAATTTGTGTACTCCTCAGAATACTCAGTGAGGGCAGTTTTTACCTCCAATGTTAAAGTTAGGGTGTAATCAGAAAATACCCAACAAAATAATACAGGGACATTAGAGACGATGCTTTATGAGTTTATTACTCTTAAATTCAAGTTGTTAATCAGTTTCAGTCATAATATTTTTTCCTTTCACCTACTTCAGACATGTCTTGTCCTAAAACCTTAAATCAAGCTTATTAAAAATACCATAACAAGGTCAAGCGTGCTGTGCTTGGAAGCGGCAAAGAACATTTAAGAGCTTGAATATCAGCAAACTGGGGACCTGCGAATAGCTTCCCTGAAGCAAATTTTTAAAAACCACCAGGGAAGACCTAATTTTTTCTTTCATCTTCTCTTTGAAAGCCCTCTTTAACACCACTTTCAAACTCATTTCAATGATCTGAAGACTCATTTCCAAAAGTCCCGCAGGACTTTAGCTCCCTACCACAGACCTCTCCCAATCGGCAGCAGCTTCCCAAGGGAATCATGCGGGGCCAGGCGCTGAGCCATCAATGCTCGGTGGGCAGCTAAGGTCCTTCAGTTACTTGCCGAAGAAAAATGGGATGCTGTTGTCAGTTTTAGAGAAAAATTAAAAATAATTACATTTGCACACATTGCGATAGCCAATAGATTTTCGGCAGTCTACGAACCCATTTAGATTGACAGCCCATGGTTCTTCCTGGGAGATACAGCCTGAGCAAGAGCAATGTCACCTGTAGGTGGTTCCACCTAAAGGATTAGGGCTAAGCTTGGGAACGAGGTGATAACTTTACACACATTAGCAGCAAAAAGACAGGTTGATTTTGCGGTACCCTCCGTTGTTACGGTTTATGCCGCTCTGCACACTCTTTCCTATTTTTTCTTGGTAGCCACCTCCGAAACAAAGTCAGTGCAGCTCTACAGAACTGTAATATGACGCATCACAATTAAGGGTATAAGCCATGGTCTTTATTAGTTACATGGATTTATGGACTGATCCCAAATCAGAAAAAGGCCCCTTGTAGACCGGGGTTTGGTTTCCTAACACTTCGGCTTTCTGAGGACGTGGCAGACATTTGCCATTGGTTTGGACAATAAAAATATTTTACTGGAAACAATAAATGTAATGTGACCTATTAAACATCTAAAACTTGAAGTGTTAGGTATTTCCACAAATGTCTACAGAAGAAAGCAGATCCTTGTAAGAAAACCTGGGCGTGATTTTTCCCCCTTAATGGCTATGTCTATACAAAACACTTGCCTTACATTTACAAGCATAAATCAGATAGTAGCCAAATAAAGAAACTCCACTACAAAGCCTAGTAAAACATACAACCTTAAAAAGCTTCCCTTGAAAAGAGTTATGCTATGAAAACCCCCATTTTTGCAGCAAGAAAAGGCATTAAAGCCTCACCTTTTATAAAAGGAATGAAATATAACAGCCAAGAGGATTTGCTTCAAGGTACCAAAATTTGAAGGCATGTATCAAGATATATGCACATCACCATACATACAATACACATTTTTGTGTAATTTAGGTTATGTATCTACTGAGAAAAGAAAGCACTTCTTACAGATCAACATCTCGGTTCAGTCAACGTAGTTTAAAAATACTATTTATGGGTCTTTTATTTCATAGAAGTTATTGAATAAAAGCTCCCCAGATAGGCTAGAGAATGTTCCAGCCCTTTTTAATAATTTGTTTTGTTAACTTTCCTTGGATTCCTGTTTCTAAAATCTATTTATTCTCCCAGTGACTCCCACAGAAAAGAGAGAGTCCTTTCTGGTAACTTATTCTAATATTTATAAATTTGAGGACTCAGTGACGGTGAACAGGTTACTTAAGACTCTGCTGGCCCCAAAAAATCTGTTCTGTCTTTACTGCACTGACACTTCCAAAAGCACATAAAACTCCTCATAATGGCTGCTACAATTATACCAAGTTGTAACTCAAAACAACTAACAATGTGCTGGAATAATTTTAGGATGGCGTGCAAGGTCTGACAGTTATTTTCTGGCTCATATTAATGGTGGATGTTATTTCATGAGAATTAAAATGCTTGAAGGGCTTGTTCTTTTTACCTTCATGAATGACACAAAAATCAAGTCCAGCTTACATAAAATGCCATCTATTTTGGTATTAAAGCAAATGTTCTCATTATAAGAGAGAATCTGATTTTTGTAAACGCATTTCTTTTGAGAAGCAGCTACCATACAAAAACTGCACTGGACTGAACTGTTCCCCTGACTGCCCTGCCAATACCTACACTCCAGCCCTGAGCAAGCCATTTCACTGCCCTATACCTGATTACTATATGAAAATGAGAAAAAATAATTTCTTTTGTGAACATTTGGTTCTACAGGCAGAAGAAACTTCTGGAGACATGGCTGCTCTTACTTCAATTACATATCTGGTATACTAAAGCTGCTAAATTAGCAAGCGTTACATTATCATTACCTTTGCCCATATGAAGAGCTACAATGCAGATAAATATAGACCAAAATAGTATTAATTAAAGCAGAGGCTCTATGAAAGGCACCATCCATGTGAAACACCTTCCTTTCCAGCCTGCCTGATTATCCTTGGGAGGGAAAGCTGGTAGGCGTCTTCTAATCATCACCACCTGCCTTAAACTGCAATTACTTCCTGCATCCTCTGCAATATAATTTGCACAAGGTAGTTCAATAGTTGCAATTAGTTCAAGCTAGTTCCTAGGAAGCTCATCAATACCACTGCTGTACCTAACTGCCTCCCATCAGTGAGCCCTGTGATCTTAGGGCTCTGAAGCAGAGCTGATGTGGACCTTGCATTGCTGAGCTTCTTCAGCCCCAAGGAAGCTATTCCTGCCGCTTGGAAAACAAATGAGAAAATGCAGAGGACAAGTATTAACTAATAACACAGAGATCTTCTGCAGCATTTTTAAAAGTTGGTTTGAAACTGGCCCCTGCTAGCCACCTTTGCATTTATACACACTATTTAAAGCTGCCAACGATTCAGGAAACCAAGAAGGGATTTTGTCAGCTGCAAACTATTCCGAGAAGAGAAGGGTACGCGTGCCTCGTGATCTGAAAGCAGAAAAAAAAAGTTCTCACTACCATTTGATTACCAAGAAGCTGGCATGTATCTAGCAGTACCTACTATTTTGACAGTCAGCATGAGCATTTTCCCCTTGCTGAGAGGTTTAATCAGGTTCTTCTGCTAACTTCTCTCTGCAAAGTAATCTTCGCTGCAACAATATGAAAAAGTTAGGAATCACGTGGGTCACAGCATTAATGATGTTATCATTTTCAGTATATTCTCACTGTATTTAATCTATAATTGATAATGGCTAAGTACTCAGGAAATAATCTATGACCTCTGACATGACTAATTTAACATATGTGCACTTTTCCTGAGCAGTAAGTTACTATTTTGTCATTATTGCTGAAAACAGCTACGTTAAAACTAAATCAAACTGTGATCTGAGAGTTAAAGCACTGAGTTGTATCTATTACACATTAACAAAATCGACTCTGAGCTTACATAATGTCATTTAAAAATATGTAAGAGCTTTGCATGATCACAATTAAACCTCAGGAGCAGCTAAGGTATACGATAATATTTGCAAGCGTATTTCAGAAGTGGGTAAACTAATGAAGCACAGCGTAAACGAGGTGCATTAGATTATGGAGTCAGCAATTAGCCTCCGCTGTAACAAAACCGGCAGCTGGCTTCTCTTCAAGAATTGACCATGCTGCATCACTTTGGCCTAACGTACTTACAGGGTTGGCATGTTCATAAAGCCACGGGCTTGTCATTGCTGCAGAGGCAAGGATCATATTATCTTTAAGTGTGCCACTTGGACAGCGGGCCAGCATCACTATTTGCCATCCTTCTAGCTCAAGCCCCACGTTAACACAGAAGATTCTTCAATAAAATTACTGGGGAAAAAGTGCATCTAAACTCCTCCTTACAGGTGGAGGTCTTTAAATAGCTGTTTTTATTCTTTTTCTTATTCTCCCTTCAGTGACTTCTCCCTCCTATGACTGTTACGTTCCTTTTCTTGCTCAGCTTCTTTGTACATTCAGAGTACCGGGATAAATGCTCTTTGTCATGCTGGTGCAATAAGTGATGCTATTTGTATATCGAAACCATGTCTCAGAGCAAGGATACCTGGCCTGTCTTCAGTAAATAAGGGTTTCCTTCAGTTGAGAGCATATTTTAAAGGATTTATTGTGAATTCACTCTTTTTCACTATTTTTTTTTTTTGAAACAGACTGTACCAGTAGATACCAGTGGAACCATACCAGAGGATCTGGGTACCTCTGCCCCGGTGACCGTGCCCATTTTGCCTTCATCCCCATGCTACTACAGGTCCACCCACCTCTTCTTCACTTCTGCAGGCCAAATTCACTGCATCCACTGTCACCCCACAGATCCTTTGACTTTCTTCTACAGTACCCAACTGTTCTCATTGATGTCAAATTTATATTCACAAAGTACAGTTTGCCATTGCCCTGCATACACCAATGGGCTTTTAATGGCCCTGAGCAGCCTCACCTGGAACCTCCACCCCACAACTTCCCTCCATGGTCCAGGAGCCCCATTGCAGCTCAGCCTGGGACCCTCAGCTGTAGGTACAGCTGGCTCGCCTCATCTCTGGCCCTATTTCTAGGCTGGACCTTGGATTTACAATGTAGATAGCTTGCGTCCAGCCCCACCTCTCCATGCCTGATGCTGTAACCTTGTTTGCAGCCCTGCCTCTGTCTCTTCTACTCCTGCTGGCAGCAACCTGGGTGGACCCTGGACCTTGGCTATCTCCTCCCTGTGTCTGGGAGTGTGGGAGCACCCTGATGCCAGCACCCAGCTCAGCATTTGGTTCAATTCTGAAGGAACTTGGCTAATTACAGCAAACCCTTTCTCCTATTTGCTGCATGGAGTGTCACACCAGTAAGGGGAACAAAAGCACCATGGGCAATAGCAGGAAGGGTCCAAACCCCTCATCTTGAGCTAGAACAAGAAAATTAATATCCCGAATGCCAACGGTTAATGATGCGAAGAACCACGCTGGCGCCTGCTGATGTGAGTACATCGGATGCGGCCGAGCAGGAAGGGAGCTCGGAGACACTCGCTGCTGCTTTTTCTTCAGCAGCCTTTTCACGTCTCATTAAGCAATGTTTCACAGATAGCTTCCAGACTAGCTAGCAGGGCTCCAGCGAGAAATCAGTATCCTCCAAAAACTTCTCAAAGGTTCCCACTGATGCAATTAGCTCTTTTGAGACCCTGCCAGTCTGCGCTTCCCATGCAGCTTGCGCTTTCACGTGAGCTCTGCTCAGTGTTGCAACACGGGGAGACCTGAGCCAACCTTCAGCAGGCTGCAGCAGGTGCTGGCTGCACGCAGAGGAGTTGCAGGGACTCTGTCAGCCTGCAGAGTTGGAAGGACTCTGTCAGTCCACGGTGCTGCACGCTGCCAGGCTCTGCTCCCCTGCGGCAGCGTAACTCCTGCAGAGCCAGAGCGAGCATCCCCTGCTGCATCCCGGGCTGCAGCACTGACAAGCAGGTGGGGCTGTGGTTTGGTCTGCCTACTCAATTCCTTGTTCTGTTGGGATTTTACGATGGTAATAGAATAGGAGGGAAAATTATGGGCAAAGTTTATCATCAGTAAAGACACGAAGCCGTTCATTTCTTCCAGTCTTATTTCCTCACGTGGGTGCACACAGTGATAGAGCAGATATTACAGTTTGCTCTGTGATCACTTTAAAGCGATCTATGATAAATCAAACGTTTTGGAGGCTTGGTTTTCACTTAGGTCAGTGTGACTTGCCCAATAGCCACTAGTGCTAGAGGAGGGGAGCAGTGGCCAGGAAGGAACAGGGAAGCTCGGGGTCAGCCGCTTTGGCACCAAGACGGCATCGTGCTCACTTCAGGTGACCGCATAGCCTCATCCGAAACCACCTGTGCTGGCCTACGTGCAACCAAGCCTACAGCCCCATCTTGTCTTTCAAAGCTGTCAAGTTGGAACTGGAAATCCACCCTTCTTTCAGATGCTCCCTCTTGATTTCATCTTTTAAGCAACCACCGACGAATTGCAAAACCTGCCAAGCTTTGCAAAGGCTGCATTTCTAACACATTTCATAGCACAGTACAACTGCTTACTGGCATGCATCAACGGCCAAAGACACTTGCTTCATGTTCAGAGGCTACAACTGGAAACAGAGCTGGTAGAGCTCAAAAAGCAAATGACACACCTTGCCTGTGAAAGACATTGTCACAAAATCAAATTTCTTATTTTTTACCCGTTAGAAAGCATTCATTGAACAAACAATTCTACTAGTACCAAAAAGGAAGAGATGGTATGCTTTGAAAAGCGTTGCTCATGAAAGCTTGAATATGCCATTAATATTCTTATTAAAACTCCATTATACTTATTAAAACTCCATTAATATACTTATTAAAACACAAAACAACCATCAAAAAAACAAAGCCAGTTACGTAATGTCTGGAGGGCAGCATAGTAGAGTCTTAGAAAATAAAGTGAAAAATCTGAAAAATCGATTTGCTGCAGCCTGAAAAGAAACCAAATTTGAGCAAGCCAAATGAGATTTTATGCTCCACCTACACCCAGTCTTGGTGAGCAGAGGGAAATTTGTTTCAAGGCAGTATTTACAGTTTTCTTTCAGTAACAATGACAACAGAGGAATACATCACAACTTAAAACAAATATAACCCCTAAGTTACTGATACACTACGCAGTCCCATCTGATCTGATGACTTCTTCACAGATTAAAAGTCTCTCCAGAGTTTAGTTAGTGGAAAGATGTGCTGTCTCCTTGCATGGCGATACAGAGCATTTCATTGCTCTTCGAAGCAAGGCAGCTGTACAGCACCTATCTTCATTTGCATGACATTTTACATTTATGTAGTTAATGCTAATTACTGCGGTGGTGGATGTATTTATTTTTCTAAATTTATTTCAGTAGGAAATGATTAGCCATGTCTGAAAGCTGAATTGCACTACAAGTACACGTGGTGCTTTGTAGCTGGTAACGACTGTCTCCACTTGTATTCGGGTTCAAATCCTCTAAAACCAGAGGACATGACAACTGGGCACTCACCAGTGCCCATAAAGAATAATGGTTTTGTCTTTCTTACATCTTGTATTAAGAATAATGGTTTTGGCTTTCTTACAGCTTATATTAGTCCAGGTGTGGCTGCCTTTGCATTCAGGAGATATCCTGTCTCCAGCTGTGTTGTTTTATTCTTTTTACATGTGTAGAAAGCTGTATTGTAACAACATTACACCATAAGTTAACTTACATTCTAGTTTTCATAGTTGCTTAGTTAAAGTGGGAGAAATGGGACCACTGCCTTCAATTATTTTATCATTCATTTTCATGTAAAAGGTTTTCTATAGCATATCATGATTTATTTTTTTGTATCTTACAGGCTTCTAGCAGAAATGTTCCATGATTTTCTAGAATAAAACATTTAATTTAACATTGAGTTCACTTTCTCTCTCTTCACTGTATTAAGGCATGGTAATGCGATGGTTCTTTACTGTCAAGAAAAGCAGACATATGCATTTTTATTGACTCCATTAGTATATAGAACTGGATCTCAAACTGAGACTCAGTTGCTTTTGATTTCTGGGTCTGTGGAGCTGGGACTGAACAGAGACTTCCACCAAAGCTGATTTCCCTGAATTCTGAAGCTGGAATACAATCGTACCATCTCCTGGGGACCCTCACTTCTGGTTCTGGGACATCCCCTGGATCACTCAGGAATTTCCTGAATGTCATGGAAGCTCAGTTATTTTAATGGACAGCAAAGTCAACATTCCTGCCATTTCAGAAATGCCATATAGTACCATTCACAAACTTCCAAATTTAAATCAAAATCATTTTTACCAGTATAGCCATCGAAGATGCATTCAGAACTCATTTCTCTCAAGGTCAGGTGCTTTTTTCTGTTTCTGAGACTAAATTTACTCAGAGCAAGCTTAAACATAATTGTTCCTGGACCAAAATACAGTTTGCAAGAAAAAAAAAAATATTTTGTTGATATATTCACCTAGAAAGCCCAAAAATTTTTTCAGATTTTATTTTGCTGACATAAATGAATCTAGGTGTCCTACGTTTTTGTCTTAGGCTCTCTTAGTCTCTGGTCCTTCTCTGTACCTATACCAGCATGAGTTCATTTTCCATGAGCTTGTGTGTCCTCGCTGGTTTGGAATACTCTAGATTAGATCTCACTGGGGTTTTGTACAACGGTACAACATCATCCTTTCCTCCCTGAATAAACCTCTTTTGATGTCACCTAGAACAGTACTTGCCATTTCACTGCTTCATCAAACTGGTGGCTCACAAGCAATTTTTGCAGTCAAGACTGGGATTCAATCCCTTTCTCCATGCCCAACTTGAGTTGTAGTCAAACTCGTGTATGCTAGCCTTTAAGCACATCGACTCTTCAGACATACGTAGACCCAGTTCCTTCAGTATGACACCCTTGATCTTTGCTGCCTGTGAACAGTGCCTCCTGAATTAATGGTATCAGCCGAATGCCGACATTGTTAAATGACGGTAATTAAGCAGAATTAGTTGTAAGATCTTGCTTAATGAACTCTACTGGATTCTACTCCAGCATAGTGAGAACTCTTCATACTACCTGGTTCATACTTATTCTACAGTTCTTTCGCTAGTCTCCACCTCATGTTGTTTAATTTCTGCATCTGCTGCCAATAAAACCTTGTATTCATACCCAGATGGATTATATCTGCTGTGGTTCCCTTGTCCTACACCTTCACCTTGGCCTGCAGGCACAGCCGGGCCAGCTGTGACAACCACCTCATGTCTACTGTCTACTCTAAATTTAGTAAATAAATAAATAAATTACAAATCGACAAAAACAAACCAAAACTTCATAGTTAATAGGTCCAATTCCACTTCAGTCACAAGATTGTTTCATGAAGAAAAAAGTTGGCTTTGCTTTGAGGAACAGATTGGCCCAGTTTAACTCCAGATCTGAGCTGTTCTATGCTCCTGTGGTAAAAGCAAAACATACAGTATTTTGGAAAACATTGACTTAAGTGTTACATCAAATTTCTGGCTTATAGTTTAATTTGATCAGAAAAAATAAAATTTCTAATAATTAATGGAATTCCATCAGTAGCACTGTTGAAAATAACGCCTAATCTTGAAAAAAAAAACAAAGCAACAACAACAAAAAAAAAACAACCTACCAACCAACCAAACAAAAAACTAAAACTAATCTTCAACCAATGAAGATTATTGCTCTTAAGCAATGTTGTGCACATAGGTCATGACATAGCCCTACCACAAGATTGTGTGAATCTCATTTTCAATAATCTATTTCCTTAGTAAATCCCAATAAAAAACAAGGAGTCAGAGGGCAAGCATCTCAAATACTTTTGATTCTCCATAAGCCCGCTCTTTATATCAGCTGTAAAAATAATATCAAAACAAATTGTAATACATTCTTATAAAAGGATTAATCATCCATATTTATTATTTGAGAGTATTATAACCACTAGAAGTATACTATGCTGATAAAAATACCTTTTAAAAAAATAAAAATAAATTAAGTTTCACAACTGATACCTCTAAGAGAGTTACAAATAGTGGCTGTGAACAGCTCTTCTCTGTCATTGTGAAAATCCTATCCAAGGAACTAAACTGACATGAAAAGAAACAAATTAGTTTCTGGCCCCGGTGGGGGTGCCATTTATTTGACCTACAGGAAATTATGTTGCTGGAAGTAAGATAAAAGTGTTAAGAGAGCAATTAGGGTTGTCACCTATCATATTCCCAGGAGGAAAGTGATGGATCCTCATTCCTGGCCTCCTGTCCTAGACGACATCTTGGTGATGAATATTGCTATTGCTTTAATGGGCAACGAAAGCAGCTGGAGCTCCTTCCCTCCATACCCCGACACGGAGGCAGCACCCTGCAGTGGCTTCCTCCATGCCTTTTTTTCCTGACATTTTCCACCAAACAGGTTGAGGGACTCTGACAACTTGCATAAAATACATCTGACAGCTTAGGCACTTTATCGTGGTGACAGTCTCGTGCCTTGACAGCACTTTGTTATACCAGCTCTTCTCAGCGTGGTGGTGGGGCAAACTGTGGAGCTGCTCTTGTTCTGGATGAACATATACCATCCTGATATAAGATGGATTTTATTGCTTCAAGGGCTAGTTTTATATGACATACACTGATGAACACCTGAATATCAAGGTGGAAGATTCAGCAGCGAAGGGAATTCAGCCAGGGAATGCACAATAAAAATCTAAGCAATTACCTTATGTCTTACAGCCATAGTTTAAAACCATTATACTCTTTCAAGATACTTACTTTTCCATTTTTTTGTAATTTAGATCAGCCATGCAGGTATTTAAAAGCAAATTGTGATGAATTCCAACATCATGTCTGAAGGCTAGGACATTTAATATGGGAAATACTAGAACTACTTGCATCAGTGAGTATGAGCAGGTGCAAACTTATGTTCCCCTTCCTTCCCACCTCCAGCACACAGAGGCATTGCCTTGCAGGACTGCAGCTTCTCAGCCCCTCGGTCCACAGACTGTTTCTTGGATGGTCACTACCTGCATCTGGGGCAAAATCCTCTGTATGCCACAGTCCCGTGGATCAGCCCTAACGCATTACATGGCTTTAAATAAACCAAGTGAAGACTTCCCCCTTCAGGTGGGGCAGACTTGCCCCAGTATGTAAAGCATTTGTAATTCAAATCGGAACCTGAAAGGACAGATGGGTCTGAAGTGAAGCCATAAGACTTGGAGAGCTGAGGGACTTGTGCAAGGATGCAACCAAGGAGAGTCCAAGCTCCTCCTCTGATGGGGTAAAGTGCCTCTATGGATCAGTGTTAAACCATCTCCAGTGCTAAAATGGGACACCTCTTATTTAAATTTGATTACAAATGCAAAGTTTTAAAAATAGGGTTAGATGAAGAAGAAACACAAGTCTAAGCTTAAATAAAATGATTGAGCAAAGCAGGTAAGGATGTAGCCATTTTAAATTCTTTTAACACTAACCTGCATTTTACTTCAATATATGTGAAGAAAACTGTATCTATCCAGAGCTGGAAAGGGATAAATTTCAAGAAGTATCAGGTTTTATGCCCAAATTCTATTTGAGGCAAACTGCTGGGGGGTTGCTCATGGTTTGTTGTCGTATCTAGTTGCATAAATCCCACTGTTTCAGTAATAGCAGCTACAGAACAAGAAAAAGAAATTTTTCCTATAAGTATTCAGTAACAGAAGGATTACCTAGGCTTTCTTCACTACAATCATTATTTAGCTCAAATGCCAGCAAACCACTGCTGAGCAGAACAGAATTTTAAATAGGCTACACTTGTAATTTATGGGTATCATTTTTCCTAACTCTCATAGAACTTTACAAAACAACTAGGACAAGGATTACATTGTACTTTTTTACTACATTGAAGCCTATGTCGTCTCCTATAATCTATACATGAAATCATTTTTATTCTTTTATTTTTAATTTTTAAATCTACCTCCAACTTTCATTTTACCTGCAGCAATGAGAGCCGTGGCAAGCCTAGAAACCTTCCTTATAAAAGTGAAGCCAATAGTGAAATTATAGAGAGTACTTTTGAATACAGTAGTCTAAGACCCACTAAGGGCCTGCAGAAGTAATCTGGAAGCCCAGAGTTACATTTCTTTACACATATTCTTACTACTGTATTAATATGCACTAATATATTAATATTCAATATGGATTTTGCTTGGCAGTACTAGTACCACTAGGTGTTCTCGAGACATCAGTCTCCATGGGAATAGAATTTCTGCTCAATTAGTTTTCTGAAGATGTGAAATTCTGATACATTCCTTGCAAACCTGATCTGAATCCCTTGGTATTCTTTTTAACACTCTTGTTAAAGCCACGTGTTGGCTAAACGCATAGGAAAGCTAAGTATTAGTAGCATTCTGCTAAAGATGCAAGACAACGTACCACATTTTCTGATAAACAGCACTTACCAAGACTCGCGAATAACACCTAACAAAAGCCATGCAAACAAAATTTCCTTTGCTCTTTCTAATGACTGCATCTGGGCTGGTCAATTAGATACAAGTCAGTCGCAATGCAGAAACCAAACTCTCATTTTTCAAAAAGCAAGTAGCATCACAGAGCGTAGCAGGTGAACCTGGGAAGCCTGCCTATAAACCCACAAGAAGTGCTATCCTCTCATCAGCTGTTCACCCAGGTGTTAACACTTGAAAGCACAAAACATCAATTACTAAACCATGGGAGCATACAGGCAGGCTGAGATGTTTTGGAAAAAAAAACCTCTCTTTATTAATTTTAATCAGCTTTTCTTATTGCTTCAGGGAAACAGAGGGATTATGGGCAGCATTGGGGCGTACAGAATACTTGAGAGTCAAGTACTTGTAGGCTATTATCTGACGCAGTCTCTGCTCTGCCTTTTTAGCAGAGAAACTCGTACAGAGCCTCTACTTTCTGCTGTCCCTTGGGGAATCCATCTGGTTAGGAAGGGAAATCCAATAAAGGCAGAACAGCTGCGAGAATGCATTTAGGAGATACACTACAGATAGTCAGCTGAAATAATTCATTGTACAGTCTTTTAAGGGTGAAGAGGAAAAAGAGATAAATATCTCCATTATCCTGTGCTACTGACTCGTGTGTGGAACATTATCTGGCTTAAAACATTGTAATTGCACCGATCTCGTCACGGCTGGATTCGCTGACATCTCACCGAACATCCCGCAGTACATGGCAATGATGATCACTTTGCTAATTCAATCTGAAGTGTAAATCGAACACAGTGTGTGAGGAGGTGCTGGTGGCCAAGTGACTAAAGCATGTTCTCTTGAGGACATCCAACCAAATCATTTGAGCAGTCTTAAAAGCCTACCTGAGGACCACATGAAGGCACGTGACAAAACTTCTTCCAGCTCTGGTCTTTTTGTAATCATAGCTTTTGGGATGAAGCTACAGTAATTCAGTTGTAGCCGAAGATGGAGATATCATTTCTCTGGCAATGGTGCTTGGGCATTAAGTTGGTTCATTCCTTCTCAAGCCTCCTTTCCTATCCTCTGTCTTCAGGAGTTGTATCAACTGCTTGAATTTTTAGACTTCCTTTATCAGGACTGAAGGAGTCTGTGCTGCATTCAGCACAGATTCTGCAACAAAGTTTACTTGCACATTTACAATTACCAAGTCTTAAAAGTCCTGCAAATGACACTTGTAGCGTGTTTTATGTGTGCAGTCATGATTGAAGAGTCCCTTACTCTGCTGCTGTATCGCAGCAGTTATAAAGAATTCTCCCATTTGGGCTTGCATTGTTTATTTATTTATTTATTTTTCTTAACTTTTTTTTTTCTTTAATCCCCTTTTCAATCTTCATTGGCTTTACTTCCATTTCATTGCAGTTTTTCTCTGCACTTCTGCTACTGCATAGAGCCGCTGCGGGGAAAACACAACTTCATGCAGTTATCTCCCAGACCCCCAAATCCTTCTGCTCCAGCAGGGGGACTGAACTAGGATGACCTTTCAAGCTCCCTTCCAATCCCTAACATTCTGAGATTATCAATTTCTTCCATTGCAAAGCAAACAGGACAGAGGCCACAGTGCTCACCCGTTGCACTCACAGCACTGGCAGCCAAAACACAAGGGACATGTGGAGTATTACAGGGGAGCCAGGCTCTGATTTATGTGTGTGTTTGGGGCTGAGCCGTTTTTTCTTGTGTCATCCATATTCCTCATACAATGCTGGTCAGCCTTGCTGCTGGCAGGGAGTAAATTTGTATCATTTGTATCATTTTAAATTTGAAAAAAATGCTCTTCAGAAGTATTTTTAAAGGGAAATAAAAAGTAGCAAACCACAAAATTTTGAAAAGGTTGCTTGAGGAAAAGTAATTTGCAGAATAGCAGCAACAGAATTTGGCATACAGAGCCACACGAGATGGTGTGTGACCCATTTTCTTCATGAAGCACTCTCCAGCTGCACTTTAGCATATTATTTAATAAGTCACTAGAGATAAATGCAAACAGGGAACAGAAAAAAAACAACAACACACTCTTTCAAATAATTACCTCACGTTGGGATATGGTGATATTTTAACCTTGTTAAAAAATCAAAGATTTTGGTGGGAACAAAGTCTTGTTATTAGTGAACCAATTAATTTTCAAAACATATTAATAAGCAAAATTTCATCCAGTTAAATAGCATGAATAAAATCTGAGATCAAAGTCTAGCTAATGAAAACAGATGCTCTCTTGATTAACTTGTACTGAATTAAACAATCAGATTAAGAACTTGGGGGTTCTGTTTAGTTTTAGCTTAAGCTATATAACTCAAGGAAGTCTAGTGAAATATTTTGTTTGAATAAAATTAGAAGAATTTGTTCCATGTCTGTTTCTTTACAGCTTATTCAGACCAAACTGTCACCAGAACAGACCAACTGCTTAAAAATACAGGACCTGCTGCAGCAGAAAAGAAGAAGTCCTGCACCTCTCTCGTTCTGCCTTCAGCACCAGTAGGACATGCAAAAAATAGCTTTCAATTTTTCAAATTAAAATTGGAAAAGCAATGCAAAAGCTACTTCTCTTATTCTCCTCAACCAAAAGATGACTGGGACAGTCACTTGGACTGCAACCTACAGACAAGCAGCTCAATACCTCTACAGATCAAAACTGAAAGCATCAGTGACCGTCTCTGTGTTTTCTCCTGGACCTGGGGAAGAAAACACGTTGCTTTGTGATCTGCATATGTAATGAAATCTCATTTCCAATGAATCTGTGTGTATTTTGTTCTAGGAATGAGTGTAGGAATCTAATTGTAATTTATTTTTTTCCTTTCAAAATTGGACAAAGCTATCATGAAGGCTTAAAACAAGGGACAACCAAATTGGATAAGCAGCATTCCCTCAGATTTGGAGAAAACTCAGATCCTTCAGTCTGTGCATGTATGCACCATGCATACGTTCGGAGTGAAGCCCACGTGCAGGCTCACATTATTTTGAAAGGTGAGAAACCTATGTCCATGAGCTACCTTTTGTTAGTCCCTACAGCCTCCAGCCACAGTCAGTGAGGGGACCAATTTCGGAAGAGATGATCTAACCTGCAAAGTGTTATTGCCTGAAAGGTCCTGATCCACTGCAGACGGTGTCATGTAAAGGACATAAACATGACTTCATGTGTAAAATAATCCAATAAACCATGCCTATGGAGATGAATACTTACCATCTGTTGGGATAGTTTTAACACCTCACACTATGAAATTAGATCTGCTGTTTGTGAAAAATAACCTCCAAGAAACAAGTGCTTTTTTATTCTTGCTAAATCTGAAACGTACAGGTTTGCCTATGTGTCATACCAGTGCTGTGCAGAAAACCCAGCTGACTTTGAACATCCTAAATGAGTCAGGGGACCATACAGTTTCACTCTGCTGGCCCAGGGCTCTTAAGGACACAAATCCAGCCCCCTGGATTCCCATCCAGCTGCTACCACATACGTTGACTAATTCCCTGAACATTTTATCTTTTGAGATGGTGATTTTCTCTTTTTGGAAGAGCAATGTTTTTCAAATAAACATGACTGTTTTCCCCTCGTGATTTAGAAACGAGGGGGAACTTAATCATATATATTCAAATACTCTTTTTGGTTAGAAAAGAAAAGGACAAAAACTAATATTGGACAGCGTGGCATTAAAGTGCACATAACTTGAAACCTTACAGACATTTGAGTATACAAATACTGCCAACAGCAGTGTCACCAAAATCACTGGAACTTCACACACAAACTGAGAGCTTCTTTAGCTGCTGAATAAAAGGGGGTGTCAGCAACAGAACATGGGAAAATAGCTGGGTCTAGGGGTCTGAACCTAAAGTTTGCTTTCCGTGGTTGACTCATCTCCCTTGGGTACTGATAATATCACAGAATGGGTTGTGTTGGAATAGACCATAAAGATCATCTAATTCCAACCCCTGCCATGGGCAGGGCCCCCTGCCCCCAGCCCAGGCTGCCCCCAGCCCCATCCAGCCTGGCCTTGGGCACTGCCAGGGATGGGGCACCCACAGCTCCTCGGGGCAGCCTGGGACAGGGCCTCACTGCCCTCAGAGGGAAGAATTTCTTTCTCCTATCTCATCTATCCCTCTTCTAGTTTAAAGCCATACCACCTTGTCCTATCCCAACACCTTCAATTTTAAAAACATAAAACATTTTGTAAATTAACTTGCATTCCTCTTAGATGCCCTGGCTCAGAAAGGCAGTATCTTTATCTGTAAAGAGATTTGCTCAAGGACACATTCTGGGGTTATTCTGAATCCGAAATCTTTTTGTAATATTTTTGTAGCATCAGAGCAATAAACCAACAGCACAAAAGCCTCACACATTCCCAGTGATCAAAATACTTTCAACTCCCTTAGGTAGAGGGATCTCTCAAAAAATGCCAAGTCATTTACATCTCTCTCAGAGTCTACAGATCCTACCTAGAAAAGCCACAGGATGCAAAATTTAAGATTTGAACATATAATGTGATGCATATTGATCAACTCTTTGGCTTGCGTGGGCTCCCCTGAAACCCATGCCGATTACACATATTCCCATTTTCATTACAATAAAAGAGTGGGCTCAGTAGCTTTTTGAAGCAAATAGTTACAATAATCCCTGTTAAATGCCAGCCTGTTTGTTTAAATTACATCTGTTGGTATTCTTTCCCAGGCAGTTTTTTGAAGGCAGAAACTACAAGTTGCCATTTAGAAACTTCAGATTGGACTTGCTGAAGAATTTCAGAAAAACTTAATTCGGAGAGTTGTACAGTTCTGCAATAGATTAGCTGGTAACTGACTCTCTCTCCATCCTTGGGGATTTTCAAGATCAGGCTCAAAAAGGCAATGACGAATTAGATCCAGCACTTGCAACAGCTCCACCTGAAGCAGGCGGCCAGATCAGAGACCTTCCTTTCAGCCAAATTTCGTATGTTTGCTTGGTTGGTTTGGTTGTTTGTTTAGTTGGTTGTTTTTACTCTGTCTCTAGGTACCAGTTCCTTTATGTGACTTCTTCCTTTCCACAGTAAATTCATCTAATTAAGAGCCAAGTAATACAATGGTTACTCTCTGGATTAAAATGAACTTTCATTTTGGCACTAAGAACTTT